GCGAGTTTTGGTATAAAAAGGTCTGATTGTTAATTTACAATTTTCTCTTGTGTATCCACTGTAAAACAATTATTTCATTAGCCTAAAAAAAAATAATAAAATTGATTGATCCAAAGAATCTATTACATGAGGTGAGTAAACGTGTGAGTGAACAGTGTTCTTTTCACTGCAACTCACTTACACCTACATCCTTATTGAATACCATAATTTCGAAAGCCACAATTGTTTGGAGAATTTTTTATCTTGGACTTTTGATTAGAATATTGATTTATAAAGCACTCTTCTTAATGGGCATTCCTACACTCTTGTTCACTCTTGCAAGCATAAGATGTCTCTTTTCCTTTTTATTCTACCAACACTTTAGGTGAGCTATAATTCATTTAATTCATGTTCGTACATCGTGTCTCTCACGATGAAATCAAGCAACACCCATTTTTGCGAATCCTTACACATGGTTACATAAGTTGACACACAAGAGTGGGACGATACCGTCGATCATTACTAAGAATATACTAGCTATATCAAGTTCCGCATATTTCTTGAGCAAATACTGCGTTTAAAACTTATGTATATACGATTTCTCAGTCAATTTTACAAAACAACTATTAAATCTGAATCAATATTATGCCAAAAAGAAATATCGGGAAGTGCATGCTATATTGTGTTGAAAGTAAAGAAAGCCGATCCGTCATGATTCCATTTCTATTGATGCAAAAAAGACGAAGACAGCATTTTACATTCAGTAGATCATCTTAGCATTCTAAGTATGAAATAAAATTACTTCCTTTCTCCAGTTTATGCAATGCAACTGGAGTTTTCTATAGAGGAAGTGATTGGCTTTAAAATAAAAAAGTTCGTTCGGTAGTGTCCCGCTAGAATTGCTCTAGACACCTGTCTTCGTATAAATAGAGGCAGCAAAGTGTTTGATGACACAATTGACAATGACTCGTATTATGAAACTATCGTTCTTCCTATTCACATTCACAATCATTGCTGCCGTCAATGGTAACACAAATCGTGCCACCATCTTACAGTCCTACATTGACACACTCCTTGTTCAATTGCGACTGTCATCGATGGATCCCATTCTGTTCTGGAATCTAGTTACCTTGCAAGCTTGTGCAAATGATTACGATTCATCTATTGTTTCTACACCAGAACATGATGGTCCAGCAAGAACATCCCGTGCTTTTGCTATCATTCATGGTGCTATGTATAATGCAATGAATTCGTTCAGTCATAGTTATGAACAGCTTGCTCAACGAAGTTGGGCATCAAAAACAAATCCGGTTTTAAAGAGATTTGGTATGAGTGCAGCTATATTAGAAGCTGCTTATCAAGCACTATCATTTTTATATGAAAAACAACGACCTATCTTTGATGCTGTTTATCAATTTCATTTGAGACAAATTAAAAATAACACAGGAGCAGCAACTGAAATCAACTTGGGTCTTACCGTTGGTCGATTGACTACCTCATTCATTCGCGAAAATCGAGCATCCGATGGTAGTGCAGCGATTGAACAGTATACGCAATTGATGCAGCTCGGATATCATGAGGCGGATCCAACTCATCCTAAGCAAGGCTTTACAGATGTTCATTGGGGAAAAGTTAAACCATTTTACCTAGACTCTGCATCACAGTTCCGTTCACCGAATATTGTTGGTACATCGCCAGTGCTCCGTGGAAGGTATTTGAAGTCTTCAGCTTATAGAACTGAATTAAATGAGGTAAAATTACTTGGATCAAAGACAAGTACACTACGTACCGAAGATCAAACTCGTATTGGAATTGCATGGGGTTATGATGGAGCACCAAAAATAGGCACACCTCCACGTCTGTACAATCAAGTTGTTCGAGTCATCGCCATCAAAGAACAAAATACGTTAGAAAGCAATGCTCGTTTATTTGCATTGGTTAATTATGCGATGGCTGACGCTGCAATAGCCGCGTGGGATACAAAATACTATTATAACTTCTGGCGTCCCATTGTCGGTATTCGCAAATCGCCAAACACTAATTATCTCGATTCGAGATGGACACCTTTAGGAGCACCTGCTGATGGTGTCGGTACGGATTTCACTCCTCCCTTTCCAGCTTATGTCTCAGGTCATGCAACATTAGGATCGGCGACTTTTGAAGCACTACGTTGCTTTTACGATAAAGATAATATATCATTTCAATTTCAATCTGATGAATACAATGGGAAAACAAAAGATTCAAACACTGGACGGTTTCGACCCGTCCTAATTCGAAATTATACTTCATTAACAGCAGCTGAAAAAGAAAACTTGGACAGTCGAATATATTTGGGCGTTCATTGGCGCAGCGATGTGGTACAAGGACAGAGCCTTGGTCGGCTAGTAGCACGCGACGTTTTCGTTAAATTCAATTAAACTGATTTTTCGTTTTTTTTCTAAATAAAGAGGGTGCGCTATAAAAAAATGGAGTTGTTGTTATTTTGTTCAATTTGTGAATAAATTTTCATTTAAGAGAGTTAATTTTAATTTCGCAAGTTTTTCATTCACTTGTCTTTAATGAAGTGTAAAATCTAATTCCGAAATACAAGGTATATTTGTTCGTTCTTGAGTGTCAAAAACGGTTGATAGTCTTCTTCGAGTAAGTCGCAGAATCCTACGTGTGCCTAGAGAGCTGCGCCACTATCGATGGCCTAATCCATATCAATAGACTTCGTAGGGATAAATTTCATAACAGATTGCACCTCTACATTTGAATTAATAGTGCTTGCCATACTTTTCTAGTAGTCGACAAGGAGCAACAATTCCAAAAATGAGACCATAGTCAGTGTTGAAAGCACTAACCTTTTACCAGGATTCAGTAAGTAGCCAGGTCACAGAATCCACATTGAGGATATGGGTATCAATCTCGAATACGCCAGGATCAACACTCACAGTCACACCTACAAGCACTCAACACGCCACATCTCACACCGACATCTTTTACTTCTGGTTCGGTACGTTGATCACGTCAGATACGATGCTACTCGATCATGAACAGAGTACTCATCGATTAAATCTATGCAGCAACAACAAGCATTAAATCACCAACTAATACAACAGTAGTAAGCTACCACGTGGTAGAGTAATGAACAACACAACATTTCATCTCGTGAAGAAGACATGCCGGTGTTATCTTCGAGAAAGCACTCTACTACTCACATTACCCAGAACAAGCACAGGCGAATATCTGATATGAAAGACAATGAATCACAACTGAATCACTTAGTGTCACATCAAGACAAAGATACAGCCACAAATAAACTTTCATTAAGCGATAGTGGCTACTTTATCACAGTGCTATTTTGTCTAATGATTTCACAGTTGAACAAGTTGCTAATGAAATAAAAAAGAGTAACAACAAGCACTGAAAATTTTCGAGTAATAGTTTACTCATAGTAACGATCAGCGTAGGACTTCAGATTCATTGTTTCAAATCTAAAAGAATATAGTGAACTACTGTGAGTAGCAAACAAATTAACTTACTGTACAAAATGCTAGCAGTTAGCTCACACGAAGGGCAAATGCCCAGAATTGAATAAGAAATGTAAACTTTTTCTGCTTATTTTTAGCTCAAACTAGGGTGTGGGTGTATGACTTTTGAAAGAATATACAAACCCCACACCCATACCTCACCCTTTCACAAAGCTGCAAAGAATCTCGATCAAGTTGACTATCTTCTGAGAGATTTTTAGTCAAATGTAGTCATAGATGACAGAATAGGAGCTGTTGATGGTGTCGTAGTGACCTTAACTTTTGAAATCGTACCAGAGAAACATATTTTTCTCACAAAAGAACCTCATCACAAAAATCGCTTGAGCTCCCCAACCAAAAATTCATTCTGTCGCCCCTGAATGTAGGAATCTATGATCAATAAACAGGAAACTGATCCATGAACTTACTAGAGTTTATTGATTAAAAACGCGTAAGTCATAAAGTAATTGACACGACAGTCTCAACATAATTGAAGTTGTAAAAATTTCTTTGATCTATTTCGATCTTTGTTTCTCGATCTCCTAAGTGGACCACCACACTGACAAATTTTTCATTCATATCTTGATGATAACACGAACATGTGTGTGACATACAATTCCATAATTCAAGTTAGAAAACTACTGATGTCGAATGAACAATCAAATATTTGAAATAAGTGAAAGTTGAATTTTTTTTTCATTTATTCCACCGATGATCACCTTCATTGTGTTTGCCATTCCATCGAAACTGTACAAGGAAGAATTGTTGGCATCTATACGGAAACAACGAACTCTGATACAAACTTACTGGCATCGTATCTTTTAAGGATGAGTTCATAGTCAATTTAGTTTTATTGTCTTCACCTTTTATAATTTATAGTGTGAAATTCCCGACATCTTGAGATGACCTAAAGAGATACCTTTTTTATACAGCTTGAAGAGTTTGTTAGGCAGAGAGTTTATTAGGACAAATCACAGTGGTCGACTTGATGCATAGTATTAAATTGACCGTTCGTGTTTTATGTTATAATAATTAGTTGGATAAATCAACTGGTTGACATCTTTTGGTAGCTTTCAGTAAAGAACCTACGTTCTTCTTATTGATACGGTGCTCTCATGTAGTCAGCTTAACAACTTGAGCATGGCAAGATAACATTAATGTTAAGCATTATATTCAAGTTTTCATAATGTTTGAGTTCCTGTGAAGATAAGATTGATGTATTGCATAGGGTATAGAAGCAAAAGCAACCAAATCGAAATCAATATTCTACAAGCAAAAACTATGAGCTCATATCAAATCCACAGCAGATTTTTAAAATACTCAAGTACTTATCAGGACTTTCATCATTAGTAGTAAACATAGGAGTGAACATTGTTCACAAGCAGATACCTAACTTCACTCATTCAAAACAAACATCGTCTTCACATATAAAACTTCCGTTGTTTCTTTCCGAGGAAATTTGGAACGGGAGCTAACTTGTTATGTATATTTTTTCAGAATTGTTTTTTTGTGCTCCAAAATCTGAAAACGAGTGAGTTTTGGAAGGTGATTCCAAAAAATCACGAAACTCTATCGGAGATAATCTACTGATGATCTAATCTGTATTCGAAATACCAAGTACAGAAGATTCAAAGACTCAATCAGTCATGACGTTTTCTTTGTTGCAAAGCTAGGATTAGATGTTTGAATGGAACACAGGAATCTTTAGCGAAAAATAAGATTTGTCAAGATATTCAGTTATCATTGCTGATATACTCGGGTAGAGCTAAACAGATCTAAATCTTATAAGAAACCAGCAAATATTTAGCAGCGATTTACAAGGTTCGATCCATCGGATGTGTCGTGTCCTCAATCTCGTCGAACGAGAAGCTGAAAAAATAGTTCATGGAACGTTGAACACGAAGTCAACAACTCAAGAGATTAATCAATAACTGTGCTTTTTTCGATTTCATTGAATTATTCGTCTTATATTATTAACTTTCGAAAGCACTCAGTAGAACAATAATTACATATTTTGATAAAGAGACATACGCATATTATCTCAAAATCACTAGAAGAGTAATCCCATTGTCCAGATTAGTGATAGGGGAACGATCGAAATGGGAAGAATAACATAGCTCAACATACCAATTTATTACTATAATTATATGTATACACTTTGAGAAAACCATCGACGTCTTGTTTTATGTTTTATTTTAGGTCAATAATCTCATTATCAGAGTAATGGCCCACTTACATTATTATTTTATTATTGTGCGTAACTGCAAACTAAGTGTATTTTGGCTTGCTATTTGTTGTATCTTCGTAATCTAAATAAAATTTGTGGTGTGCTTCATTAGTATTATTTGGTGTGAGCGCAATTCTCCACGTCAATTTTTTCAAAAAAGATTTCATGGAACGTTGAACACGA